CTCAACCGGCGGACTCAACAAACGCAACGTTCTCAATGTTCTCAACGGACTCAACAGACACATTCCACTCAACTCGACGCACCCAACGTACTCAACGATGCAGACTCAGCACACGCTTCCAGCAAGAATCCGGACATGGGCAGGGGAGAAGCATTCCCTCAGGGCTCTTCTGCCTTGCATGTTGCTGCCGCTGCATGGGCAATCGCCTATCGGGCGGGAATCAGCTCCTATGTTACATGCTGCGCCTGCACACGAGGACCATTTTCCAGGCCCTGCGTCCCTCAGGCTGAAAGCCTGAAATTCAGGCTAAAAGCCTGAAAACCAGGGCCTACAGGCCCCGTGTCTGTTCAGTCCGAAAGCCTGAAAAACAGGGGCCTACAGACCCTGTGTCGTTTCAGACTAAAAATGGCAATAGCCTTTTTTTTTTTTTTTTTTAATAATCAGGTCCTTATGGCCCCGGCTCCATTTCCATTCTGGGGAGCATCAGTCCGGTTCCTATTCCACCGGCAAGTCAGAAAAATATTACATCATGAACCCACTCACGCTTCCTTCCGTCCGGCCGAAGGAACCCTGAACAGCATTGATTACTTCACCTGCGTGAAGGATTGACTGTCAGCTTGCCTTTCCTTCTTCTTTCCTCTCAGGACTACTGCTTAAGCCTGTCGTATACACAATAAAGACAAGAAAGAACAGGACGCCATGAAAGCTACAGTATCTGATTCCAGGCTCCACTTATTATGTGACCTGTGATAGAGCTGGTCCTTCTGCTGACTGAGAACTCTGCCTCGTCCTCCCTGTTTCTGAATTGTGCCAGTCCTTCCACCTTATGCGATAGTCGATTATCTCCGCCACTTTGCCCCTTGCAAGCCACACCTTAGTAAAGTTTGCCTTGATTTTTTCCTGTTGCTCTACGTCATCCGGCATAGATTGTCTTGTCTTATGCCATTTGCAAAGAATCTCAGCCTGGATCAGGGTCTTTGTCTCCGCCCATACCTTCTCCCTTGGAGTCGAGAGTCCCTCAATAGTTCTGCAGCACCTTTCCTTCCAGATGGACCACAGCGTCGTCTTTCGGATCATTCCAAACCATATTTTCTCTGACTTATGAAATTGGGCAGGGATGTTAGTCCATAGAAGGAGTTGGACAGGATGTTCGGGGAGGGGAATCGGGAAGAGGGAGTCCCATAGCTCCAAGGCTCTCGCCCAGTATTCGGTCGCCTCTCTACAGCGTATCAGACAATGTAATATATCTTCAGGTTCATTTTGTGAACAGACCGTGCATAGCTCTGAGCTGTTAGGGTCGTTCTTCTTTCTTCTGATATGTAACCACTGGTKWACTGGCAGAGCTACATATGTGATGAGCCATTGGAGGCTCCTAATTTTGACTGGACGAATTGTCTTGAATTTTYTCCATGGTATTTGTGAGATCTGACTGGCATCTTGGCCTATTAACTTCTGCCATCTGTTCTTGATCGTCGGATCCGGGTCTTTTGTTTTGAGGAGTAGATT